TCTCGCTGCGCTACGTCCAGGTATTTTAAATTTGGCATTGATGGAGCTGCTGGTAACGTTGTGGGGTAATCGAGCCTTTCAGGCACGGAGGGCGTATACATCGAGGACTCCGATTTGGCATAAGCACTGAGGTCGTCTGGTTTTTGCCAAGAGGCCCAAGGTGGAGATAAGACTGAAGGAGGTGGCGTTTGGTGGGAATTCGCTGTAACTGGTAGTCGCGATGTTGAGGCTGGAATAGTTGAGACGTCGGCTATAGAAGTAGAGGGCAAGTAGGGAGGAACAGGTGGAAGACGTTGGCCCTCTGACGATTTGCCTTCAATCGGAAGGCCCGCCTGATTGCTCATCGACAGCGTCTGTTGATCCCTCTTTTCACTCAAGTATGTGACGCCCCGGGCTTTTCTGATGCTATGGATGGAGCTAATTGATCTGATAGGTCTGCCGGGTTTATCCGATGTCGATTGGAGAGCGGAAGGAGTAAGGCTGACCTGCGGAACACCAGAATGCTGCATCTGAGCGCCTTCCCTGTCCTGGCAACTGGTCCTGTTTGCTTGCTTTCCCTCTTGTGCCGTGGTGAGGGCCTGGTCTAGAGAGGAGGTCTGCAACGGTTCGTTCGTCTTTATATTGGCATCCGCCCCGGTTCTAAACGTCCGGGGAATTGGTGGACGATTTACAACCGCCATCGTTTTGTTGAAGCTGGGCTTCGACTGGTTTACTTCAGAAGTTATTTTATCAACAACGCCATCGGCTGCACCGGCTTGGGTAGGAACGAAGAGAGGTTGATGGCGTCTGCAACGGGGCGACGATGAGGCTGGAGGCCTTGGGATGTTGATGATATCAGAGCTGAAGGACTGGGTATTTTGGGAAATGTTTGAACAAGAGAGAATGATTGCAAATGGCCTTTTGTTATACCACTTTGGGGAGAAAGCACAAGTAAAATAGGCTTTTGGTGTTCCTTAAATTAGTGTTTGAATCATTTTAGCGTACTTGAAATCAGAGGAACTAAGGAGTGATGTGACAATTGCCTTTAGCCCTTCTATCACAAAGGTTTTAATTCCGTTTAGTTAAATCAAGAGGCCATAGAATATAAAGCATACATGATACTACCACCGAGCTATATTTCATTTTAAGTAGGTTTTCGAGATTTCCAGTAAATCAAATATATGAACTGTATTCACCCCATTTCGTTTAAGCCGATGAAGGATTGCTATTTTAATTTTCGCAAAAAAAATATCAGTAGACACGACGTTTCCAATGAATTTCAAATAGCCCTGTTTTCTCAAAAGGTATTCTCATCCAGGATTGACTTCAGTTCCGACCTTTTGGGGGCAAGACGATGTGTACTTCGATGGAAACATCATGTCTACACATATCATTGTGGAAAACATAAACTACCAGCTCCCCACTACCCTAAACAGAATAGGGTGAACACAGTTGATATATAACTGAGTTAACAATATCCCGTTGCTAGCCCCGTTTAAAGTGTAGTGACTTTGAATCCAGTCAGTTTGGCTGCATCTCAAGTCACAACCCGTCAGTAAGCAATTATCTCTCAACTCAAGCACTCGGAGGATGACTTATCGGCCCTGACCCGAGGGGATTAAATGAACCTAGTCTCACTGTTGACCCAATCTGAACGTGCCATTAAAAGTAGACAATAGTATTTGAATCCAGAAACTCATTAGATTAGGAAATTTTCTCCGTCGCTCCCCTTGTGCAGTTGGGACCCTCTGACAGAACATTGCTCTCTTGCGGCAACAGTACTCTCCTCCACCGTCATTGCTCTCTCACATCGAATCCTCGCCTGTAACTTCTTTTTTTTTATACCAGGCCTGGGTATCATATAGAATAGCGCGAAGCCGAGCACATGTTTTTTAATGAAAAATCTAGATAACTAAAAAAACATTATTAGGCAGTGCGACGATTTCGACTTGTTTTGACTATTAGGCATTAGCATATCGTAGAGTATTGTCAAGAGTCAGTTATCGAAAATCCTCATTATAATGTCTAAAATAGGGAAAAAATGTAAACCGAAAAAGAAATAACGAAAAATGGTGACTATAGATAAATCCACACGAAAAATTTCCTTCTATTTGGGTCATTTTTCTAACAATATATGAGCATCTATTAATCTTAGTTGTATAGACTAAAGCATGCCAAAACAGAGCTGACGGATTGCCGATCAGCAACATTCTGATACTGTTCGTCTATTCACCAGTCGCAAGGGTCGGAATCAGCTCCAGGCTACGGTTCCTCAGAGATATATTAAATGATTTCCGTGACCATATAAGGAATTATCTCATCCTTCAAGCCGTAAGTCAGTCGTCCTATTCCTTACATTTTCGTCTCTTTTCTCTCCTATTTTCCA